GCTTCTGCTGTTCCTGGTCACTTTTGTCTCTGTTCAGTCTCACCAGGCTTCTCCAGGAGAGCCCATTTCTCCGTGGCTGGCTGTTCCCAGGTAAACTAATGAGGAAACTGGCTTCCTCCGGAATTCCTGTTCTGGACGATCCACACTTCCACAGAGGCAGTGTTGAGCAGATAGCTGGGAAGACAATCATCTTTTTACAGCAGGTCACTGAAGCATCACTGATGTATAGGACAGCCAGAACTATCCATAATTGAGGTGGCTACAATAGCTAAGGGAGTGTTTTGTTTAGCTGTAGCTATGGCTACAGGAGCCTATAACTGCACGCATTTCCGTTTCGGAGCATTCATGGGGTAATATAAATTTCCTTGATGCCACAGGCCTGTTAAAATGCAATACAGTTATTTAGTGCATCGGTGACATAGTGCTCTTTGGCACGGCAGGCTGTATGTGGGCCAGTGTGCAAAGAGAAGTGTCACCAGAGGTTTATGGGAGGCAGGATGCCTTCTGCTCGCCTACTTAGGAAGGGAGTTAGGTAAGAGGTGTTTGACTCTTCCGTTGCCCAAGCACGAGGAGACCTACATTCTCATCACACTGCAACAACCAGCCCTGGATGAAAGCCCTGTAGAGTCAAGGGCGAGCCACCCGCTGCCTCTAGCGCAAAAGACCCAAGTTCTGTTTTAAATGGGGTTTTGAATCAATTTTTTTAGTTTGGTATCTTAAGCTGGAATTACCTGAAGCCTTAAAAAACACCAAAAAATGACCAGCCTGGCTTGTGGCTTTGGCCTTTTCTCCCTGCACGTCCAAGCTTGCTGGGGAGGTAAATTGCAAAAACGCAGGGGTGAAGGATACAGCCAGTAGAATATAATGCCTTCATAGGGATGAAGGATACGGGCAGTAGAATATAAGGGCTTCATAGGGATGTAGGATATGGGCAGTAGAATATAATGGCTTCATAGGGATGTAGGATACGGATAGTAGAATATAACGACTTTATGACATTAATGATACATCCAAGCAATGAAACCGATGCAAGCGGTTGGTACTTTTCAGTATCTCGACAGGACAACTCCTTGAGCAGGTGCAGGAGAGTGGGTGTAGTCGTGGCCCCACTGCTGTCAGGGGAACGCCCAGCGCCTTTTGAAGCAGCTCCGATGTGGAAATGCTCCCCTGCTCCCCTCCTGGGAGCGTGTGAATTCTCAAGAATCTGAGCTGCCGTTTAGCTGCAGAGGTGACTGATTTACACAAAACCGGATAGCGAGAACTTCCTGAGATGACCCTGTTTTGTGAGGAGATCCTAATCTCATGACAAGTTTGTCTAGCCAGATAATGACAGTAATTAGCCAGGAGGCAAGAAGGTGGATCTAGGTATTCTGCTTCATGAGTAAGAAGGATGTTTTATGGCAGTGGAATTAGGAGGAGGATGGAAACTGCTAATATCCTTCAAAACGGAGTTGGAACAAACAGCACAGCAGAGAGGAGATTCCCAACCTGCTCCCCTCCCAAGGCGGAGAGGCTCGGAAAGAACCAGGTCCTTTTTCCAGAATAAGCCAGTACTGGCATTTAGCAGTTTCCCCCTTATCATTCCTCCTGCTGCGCAGCTCAGTTTGTCTGAAATGCAGAGTGGGGGACAAAGAGGACTAGTGCGATAAATAAATGTCAGCATTCCAGATATCCAGATGAAATTTGCAGGGGAAAAATGAGCAAATAGCAGAGGTGGGCTCTCGTTAAAGACCACACTCATTCTAGGATACGATAAACTGACAAATATCCTTGCAGTTGCCATGCAGCTCGGTAGGGGCATGCCTGCTGCAGCACTAGAAGATTATCAGCTGTCCTTATCTCTTGTCGTTTCCACTCAAATATTTGCAAAATGCATACATACTGGGCAGATAACAACCCACAGGAATGGAGAGAACAGAATTCTTAATTCCTCCACGTTCTATGATGTGTTGCTCGTGTGATAACAAACATGCTATCATGAAGGAATGTCTGTTGTGTCTGTGAAAAGGATCGCTGCTTGCTCTGCAAGTTCAATCGCATGAAAATACGTTTTTTTTTTTTTTTTTTGCCTGGAAAAAAAAGGTCTTTGTAAACCAAAGGTGAGACGTTCCTTGCAAACAGGTAGCTCTGGTGGTATCAAGTGATGCAGTTTTGTCTTTCTGGGGTGCTGCCAGACACCCTGAAATGATAGTGTGGAGAGGAATGTGAGATTTCCCCCTTTCATCATAATGGTTACTTTGAAGCCTAATTACAGCCGTTTAAACACCAGCCTATTAGCCCTGCTCCTGCTGATGGCTGCACTGAAATGCACAGCCTGATGGGGAAGTTCTCTCTCAAAGCCGGGTGGGCGGCTCAGGCTCTGTGTTTGGAAGGAGTTTGGAAAGGGCATGGAGCAGGAACCCCAGTCCCAGGCCCTGCTTCAGGGCTATGCAGAAGACAGGAGGGCCACGGGACAGGCTGCAGCATGATCCACTGTGTGGCAACACTTCACGTGCCACAATGGCTAGTGGTAGCAGAGAGTTTGGCCACTTCGCCCCCGACATTCTGCAGTTCAGGGCTGTGTCCAAAGATGACTACGACAGCAAATATCACCAAGAGGCAGCACATCACCCATGGCTCCTCTTGAGAGACAAGCACCAAGAGCTGCTGCTGACGCTCAGCTGCTGCAAGGGACTCTCTGTAGACCCGTCCCCACCACCTCCAGTAGCTGTGATGAACACAAGGCCTGGTCACGTTTGGGGACACTTTTCTGTTGCGAGACTTGTGCCCTCCATTACGTTTCAGATTTCTGTCTGTCTGCACTCTACAAAGCAGGCAGCTGGGCTTAAATCTTGAATGTCCAAGCACTTTCCCTCTTCCCAGTGAACTTTAACTGGTAAGCCATCTTTAAAATAAAGGCCTAGCACAATGGTGTCCCTCCAACAGTGGAGAAGGAGCAGAGAGCCGAGAACACTGACCCTTTTACAATCCCATCTTTACTATGAGTGACACCAACTGATTTCTGCCTGGTTCCTAACGCTGCTTCTCAAGGGTGGGCCACCTAGCACATGGCAGATATGCACCTGGTGTAACTGCAATACCTGTGTCTACCCGATGTCTCAGGGGGATATTCCTGAGCTGAAGATCAGACACTAATGACGTTCTGGTCACGCTCTAAGGGAGGTGAAACCATTGTGGCTTTCCTTTAACTTGTTTGGTTATAAACTGTGGCAGTTCAGCTGCTTCGTGACCAATGGAGACACCCCTGCAGCAGAGGCGGTACCCTCCGAGGGCTGGAGCAGGGAGCTGGGGCAGGAATAACAACAGCTGTCCCAATACAAAGTGTTCCCACTTGTGAATCAAAGCCCTTACTAAGATCCTGTCATGTCCAGACACGTTTCACACTTATTCTTGCAGACATAATATGAAGGCAAGGATCCATCCTTTTGCAAGTGCATCCTTTTTTCTTTTTTTTCCCCCTTCTGCAATGGGAGAGGAACCCAAACCAAAGCATGCACTTGCTGAAAGGCTGGAAACAGGGAAGTTCTGTTTAATTTGCACATTCCCCGTTTCTGATGAAAAGTAGGAAATATAAATCACAGCCTTTTATTTCAAATTTGGCATAAAAATTTGCCTTCCAGGTAACATCAAATAACAGACTTCGCACTACTTGGAATTAGGCTGATGCTACTCAGCGAGAAGTACAAGGCAAAGGCTCAGTTCTGGGAGAGTTTAATTTTGTTACATTTCCCCATTCAAATCTCATCTTTGAGAAACCCACAAAAATAGCAACAGCAGCAGCAAGATAATAAATAATAACTATTTTACACAATTTTTACCTTAAACATGCATCTTCCCTCTTTTTGTCTCACATCTTCTAAGTGCTGGGGGAAAGCCCTTAATTAAAATATCTTTACTGAAAGAAAAGCAACTTTATTTTTCAATTATTGTTTCCCTCTCTTTTCCTTTCCTCCCTTTATGTAATTTGGCCCTGTTTTTAATCTTTTCTGGTCTCCTACTACTTCCATCTAGGAACACTTCTGGTTATACTGGAAATTCAGACAAAAGATATTCAGCCATCCAGAAAAAGTGTCAAGTGAGTTTATGTTTTGACTCTGAAAGAACAAAAGCAACTTTGAACTATTCAGTGGAACTATAATGAGTCTTCTAACAAACTCCTTTGGCTCTATGTCAGGTGTAAAAGTTTTCCTGAAAAAAGTATATTTTTGTTACAGGTGTTATCTTGTTTACTAAAGCTATTGTGGACAAAACTGTATCTCATTTATCTGACTTATCCACAGACACAGAGAGATACAGAAAGGATCCTACAGCAGATGGGCAGTTTCCACATCTCGTGGGAGGAAAAATGACTACACTTCCTTACTGGAGAAATGGAAGGCTACCTCCTTGCCAGCAATGCCCACCTCGAACCCTCCTCATCCACGCTGCGGTCACAAGTAATGCTTGACTTCACTCTGGCCTTGATATAAGGCAGGGGAATGGTTGTGCACAGGCAGCATCTGGGTGTAAATGAGCCTGTTTTTCTTATAGGAGGATGTGGTGACCTTTTGTCACCTGGTGAGCAGTGCTCTCTGCAGAGGGGACTTCTCCTGCCATTTGAAGTTAAACCTTATTCCCTGCAGATACAGACCTGACGTTTGCGCAATGACAATGAGTAACTGGGTTTCACAGCAAAACTGCATGAAATTCCTCCAAACAGGTGATGCTGCCATTCAAAAGCAAGCACTTCCCATAGCTTCTCTTTAGTTTCCACTTCATGACTGTACCCGTGTTGCACATTTATTTGGGAATCTGTAGTGTTGCAGAAGGGGAAAACGCCTAGAGACCTGATCGCCTACACTCATGGTAATGGTCATGAACGACTTCATGGTCTTGAGATGAGAAACTGGTGTGCAATGTCATCTGAACCCCTCAGAGGAGGTAACCTATCGGCAAGCCTTACTCAATAAAATCAGTCTCTTATTCTACATGATCTGCCATATATTGGCTATTCTACTCACATTCAAAGGCTCTCCTTCTCAGTCCTGACAGCCACTTGAGGAAATGGGTTTGCAGCATGGCTTTGTGAATATCTGCATTTTCCAAACTGAAAAAGAGGAATATCTGATTTAATCTTGATGGACAGGGTCTGTACAAGCTCTGCCTAAGTACTAACAGCGCTAAGGGTCAGCAGGTTCTAACCACAAAATTGTATTCATGTATTGCTGCACTATCCTGCAGAACAGACCAATAGCTCTTCCTGATTTCCCCCCTCTCATCCCCCTGAGTGTAACGCTTGTAAGAAAGTGCCTCCTCTCTCAATCAGCTCAGGAATTTTGATCTGATTTGGCTTTTCAAAACTTAACAAATAAATGAAAACCTGTTTCAGAAGGTAAATGCAAACATCCCTGTCCAGCCAGCTGAAATAGAGTGATTCCCATGATTTAAGTAAAACAGTGTCACAATCACTAATTAATTGCAGGAAGGTTTGGGCCCAGTGAAAGAGCGTTTCCTGGGGTTAATTCCAAACAAGCTGTTCTTTGGGCAGTGGAATTAGTAAATCCTAGTTCACCGGGTACCTCTGTCCTTTGTCCCTTAACCTCCCCACCACAAAAACCTCTACCCCTGTGTCAAATGTAGGATGAAATTAGTCAATCCCTTCAAAAGTTATTAAGAGGAGACTGGCAAATGATGAGACAGGTAATATACCCGTGCAGGCTCACCTCCTCCAGAACCCAAGCTGAAAATGACCCACACAGCTTCTGCCCAGCCCAGCAATTATCATCGCTCACAGTAAATAGCAACACAATATAAACAACGTAAATTCATTTGTATGCAAATATTACATTGGTGCTCCATGCACAAGTATAATTCATGTTGTTGGGGCTATAATAATTCCATGATTGATTTTAATAACTATTCCTCTTAGTGATACTGGGTCTATTAATATCTGCATTGTTAAGCCTAACAAACGAGATTATGGACAAAGAGGAAACAGGGACACAAGTTTTAGAATTAAACAACAGAAGAATTCTTGTGTCTGGACTTCTGTAAATAATACAGTGAAACTCTTGCCACAAGCAGCAAGTGGGTCTTCCCTTGTCTTACACCTCGGCATTGCATGAACAGCTTAAGTGAGAAGGAGTCCCACAGCAAATCACCCAGGAATTGTTCCCTCAGTGAAACTCCAACTAAAAATCCCCACCCAAAATGAGATTTTTCCTGAAGAATCCGCACAACTCGTGTGAAGGAAACGTCTAGATCATGAGCACTGCAATGCAAGTATGTTGGTAGGGAGTAACGTTAATGATCTGGCTTGGCAGACTCATGAAAGCCTGAATACATCTGAAAAAGTTTGCTCCTAAGCTATGAGTCCACCTCCTGAATGGGAAACCACCCTTTTGTGTTTCTTTTCTACTGGTGGTTGCTCAGAGCGCTCATTTCACAGGATTCATTTTTAAAAAACCTTGGGTTCATACTCTTCTCTTTTAATGTGAATCTGTTAACCCTCACTTCTGCATTGCTATGGAAATGGTTGTCACAACCAGAGAATCGTGACTCCAAAAAGGGAGTATGTACGAGCAGATGGCCATCAGTCTGTCCTTTCCCGTAATCATTACACAAGCAAATTTCTAACATTTTTGCCACGGTTTCAGAGTTCTGAAACCTACAGCGGAAGTTGCTGAACGGTCCATTTATCACGAGATTCATATAAAAGCACATTCCTAGCTCCAAGCTCCCGAGCTAGGGAAAATGTCCCTTTCTGTACACATTCCCTATGAAAACCCCGAGTTTTTGTTCTCCTGGACTCCAGCCACAAAGGCTGGTATGGCTGATCACCTCCCTGCTGCTCACGCTGGCAGAACCTCCTGCCCAGGTACAAGTACAGGCACATCTTGGGGCTGTGCACCGTGCAGTTGGCCTTGGCCTTTCCTGCCCTCAGCCCCTGCCACACGCTGCAATCAGGCACGGGCCAAAGCCCTTTGATGAAAATAGGGCTTCCCCAGGCTTGCCTTTGGCTCACCTGCCAAAGAGAACACAAACCGAAGTCCATTCCCAGTGCCAAAACAAGGATCAGAATGGAAGCAAGGCGGGCCATTTGTCCCCCTCTCCAAGCCTCCTTTGTTGGCTGAGGTGTTGTATTTCCCTCCTCATGTCACCCATGCCAGTTTTTATTCCGATGGCTTAAGTACAGGCATGCCAGAATAAAGGGCCTGTTTACAGGAGCCCAGATGGGAAGAGCCCTGAGTGTTTGGGAGGACGAAGGTAAAGAAATATTAAGGTTTATCAAAAGAGAGAGCACAAAGCGAGGAATGCTGATGTGGACCACTTTCCCCCGTGCAAGCACTTGCGTGTGTTCACAGAGGGGGAGACAGTCTTTCCAGCACAAGTGAGCAAAAAGAGCAGCTCTAAGGGTAACAAATTCAGGCACGGATCAGAAACCAACGCTTGGAAGCACAGGAAATTTGCTCCTATTTCTCAGTCCAGCCTCTGTGAGTAACAGCCTCCTTGGCACACAGGCATCAGGAACACGGGGTGTGTTGCTCTAGCGCCTACGCCTCTCTCCACTCTCATCCTTTTCCTCTTCCAGGAAAGAGCTCACAGGTCAAAGATTATTAATCTTATTTTACAGATGGGGAAACTGAGGCAGCAGACAAGGAAGCTGAAAGGAAACCTGCAATCTCTCTGCCAGCCACTGGGCCTGGCAGCCTCATTTCCTCTTCCTGCAGAAGGGTTTTGCGCATGGAAAATCAGAAGCACAAACAAGAAGTACTCCTCGCCAGTCGCAGGAGAGAGGATGCTTGGATTTTTCACTCGAGGACCATGGTGCAGCCCCAAGACACACAGCCAAAGAGACCCAGCAGTCTTTGGAAGAAGCCTATCGAAGTTGCCAGACTGAACACTGACCCCAAGCTAAGAGGTCAGTAAAGTTTGGCTTCTCTCCCTTTACTACCCTTTCTTTAAAAATTCTTAGTGGTTATACATTTAAAATCATAAACTTCTTGCAGTCGCTATTGCAAATGCAGTTTCCACAGATTCACAAGTTTCCATTTTTCCAAGAAAAATATGAGCTGATTAGTTCAAGAAAACCAAACAGATTTTTTGTTCCCTTCTGAACTTTTAATCGACAGAGCAAAACATGCCACTGGGTTTTCCTGCTGGACTTTGTTTTAATTGAATGACAGATCAGGTCCTCATTCCCCTCTTTGAGCTCTGCGACCCTTGAGGGTGACATCCCCCTGCAAGGTAGAGCAGGGAACTCATGGTTTGGTACCTTATGGCCGCTGTGGTCAGGTGTGGTGGGGTTCAGCAAGGACAACAAGAAGGCAAGCGATGCTCATAAAGCCATGTGCTGCTGTGAGAACATCTGGCTTCATATTGATCTGACTTGCACTGAAGTATTTCAGGTTGGTGTAAGATAGGTGGAGAAGTAGCATGGAGAGTTGCATTCCCACATCCTTCTCATGTTAAATAAATACACAGCAACTGTTGATTTGGGACAATAAAAGTGCAATTATGTCTTGAGGGAGAAAGAACTTGCTTATCAAAGTGTCCTCCCCAGTCATATCTCCACACAGGCCCAAGCAGACCAGGACAGTTGCAACAGTTTGCTCCAACTCAGGATGGGGTGTTAAGTCTCCAGAAGCCAGAACAGGGCTGGACTGATAAAGGCATTGACCAAAATTGCTGCACTTTTTTTTCCCTTACGGAGCTCAACACCCATATTTATCCTGACCTCTGATGTTAAGGCAGGTTCCCTGCAGAGTCCTTTGAGGGTACAGCTGTGGATCGCATCTTGCTAGCATTGTTTTGATCATCTCTCCAATTTCTTAGTCTCCAGCTCACGTTCAGCCCAGGTGCAACATCTGATCCTACAATAAATTCCCTGCAGACAAACCCTCTGACCTTCCACAACGTCACACACTAAGAATGTGGGGCTCCGATGTCCCAGAGACCCCAGAGCAGGACTGTGAATACAGGCTAGAGAGGCCCGTGCAGCTGAGAGAATAACCTGCCTCCAAAAGCTGCATCTGAAGGAAACAAGTGGGTTTGTACAACAGGCGCCCCTGATCCCAAATGGGGCTTCAAGAGATAATCATCATAAAAAGATGAGATAGCACCTAATAGCTAGAAATGCAAACACACACTCAAGCACTTATGTCGGGATGCAAGAGCCGATGGAAAAAAATTAAAATGGAAAAATGCGGTTTCTTCAGGCCGAAGCGAGAGAGAAGCAGCTCCTGTCTTTCCTGTGCTAGCAGTGCTGAGCTGTGCCTCACAGCGTGTCCCAGCTGAGGATGTGGGGAGCAGCTCGGCCAGCGTGCTCAACCAGATTTTCCACCACACCTTGGGGCTGCAGCACACTGTCATTATATCATGCATGCCTGAAATATCTCAGTAAAGCCAGGATAAAGGAACCGAGGGACCTGTTGCTGATTCTGCTCGCCCAGCAACAGCTCTGTGTGGTTTCTGGGGGGCTGCTCTGGAGGGGTGAGCCAGTCCCAAGCACGCAGGGGGACCGGCACCCTTGGGGAGCAGCATCTCCCTGCTGGCTCTCTCTGTCAGCCAGCCCGAGCATCTCTGCAGAAGAACTGAACCATCACAGGGCAAGAAAGTATCCAGGTCATTATGGTGCACATGGGGCCTTTCCTTAGCTGGGTTCAGCCCGTGACACAGATGAGCCACGTCTGCACACACGTGTGGAACAGTGCATGCATGCATATTTTCTACTGCTTAATTCCCCTGCAGATGGATTTCAGATTCAGGAGAAAAAAAACCCCACAAACCTGTACAAATGCAAAGTCCTGCCAGTGCAGAATCCACTGGGCTTGGGGAAGTAACCTCGCAACAAAACATATGTGGTGACTTGTGTACAACTCCAGAGTGAGCCTCCAGAAGTGATGGGTACTCTTGAATAAGTTCTGGTGAGGCCAAGCCCACCTCCTGTCCACAAGCCTGCATTAAAACAAGAACACACGGCCTGCCCACTCTGTCACCTGTGCTCTGAATGGCCCCCTCATTTCACAACGCTTTTCAATCATTTCTGAAAAATTGTGGGTTCTTCCCATTCATGGAGAAAGGGGCTAGGGATTTCAGAGCTCATTCTTTGCCAAGCCCAAGCCATGATTATTAACTTCTCTCATTCTCCCGAGACCCACACAACCACCTTGATGGAAAAGCATGAGTCTTTCTATAGCATGGGCCCTGTCATTTGTATCAGGAGATAATGTCTCAAACTTTCCTCATTCCTTTCTCCTGAGTCATACCTTCTCCTGTAAACAGAAAATGGAGGGAGGGAAAAAAGGAAGCCAAGCAATTCCTTCATTGCCTCACAAAATGTTAATATTTCCCAGAATATTTCTTTGGGGCTAGTTTGAGCCAAATCACATGGTTTTGTTTGACGAGGACCAAAGCCTTGTTTCAACCTGTAGCTGAGCTGTCACAGTGCCTTTAGATCTCCTTTCTGCGGGCTGTTCAGACCAGTTGTAGCTGTCTGGCTGCAGAATGGTAAGAAACATGGCCTGGCTGCATAGCTCACTCCTCAGAGCAGAGGAAGGTCAGGCAGCACTGCAGCAACACTGCCACATCCCGGTTAGTCCAGCAGAAACTAAATGCTTTGGCATCTCCAAGTGGAACTTGCTAATGCGCAAAGCGCAGTTCTCCTCCCGTTTCTCCAAATTTAAGCCAGCACAAAAGCACAACTTATGGGATCTAAATCCTCTGCCCTCAGCACTAGAGCAGCCTCGTGCTGACATGCAGAGGTATCATTCCCGACTCTGCCCATCTCTTCAGTCTCCACCTCTCCACTATCATATTCCTTTTCTGTGGGCTGGCCTTACAGCACTTGTTGCTGCTCCACCTCAGATGTACTTGTCCGGTGGCTTCACCATGACCCTACCAACTCTATTCCTGCTTTCCCTGCTTTTCAGTGCCATCCAGTCCTGGCTCAGAGCCTTGACATATTTCCTCCACACCCAGGCTCACAGCAGTTCCTCGCTGTCTCCTACTGAAACTAAGAGCCCATTTGTATCCTGCTTCTGCCCTCACAGCAAGGCTTGCTCCTCTCACTCACCCCACTCCTGGAGTACACCTTCAGAAAACCCCAGGGATTTGCACACAGACACAATCACGGGGGAAACAAAGAACAAACACCAGGATTCATCAGCACACTGCAAACCATCCAGGTAAACCCAAACTGCTCCAACAGGAGCGCAGTTATCTACTCCTACTTTCCCGTCTCCCCAATAGAGAAAAAGAACTGCATAAATCATCATCAATGCTTGTTATTAAGAGCTGTGGCCTCTGCAGCAATTACACTGTATATTTAGATACTAAGTGGTATCTGTTAAGCACTTACTCTGGAGACGAGCAGGGCTGCCAGACCTCGCTGTCTCTTGCAGCGGTGAAACAGGGCTGAGGTCACAAGAGGCGACGGGACCAGATCTACAATCGCAGAGCAGCGCTTTCAGAAGCCTTCAGCACGGGCCCAGCTCTGCCCTGTTGAGATCAATGGGAAAGCACCACAGTGAGCGACTTCAGGGCGTGCTCCGGGCTTTGGAAAATGAACCACAGATTTCAGTAGGATTTCTTCTGTCATCCGTGAAACCCGGACCACACAATGCGGTTCTGCTGCACCTGTATTTTGTCTTAAAGGATCCCAAACTATTTATAGCCGCTTGCGTTTTACTTTGAGGTGTGTTTAGGTGGATAAGCAGCAAGGACAAAGCCATACACCTAGGTCACCTTACTGTAAACAAAGATATCTTCAAATCCTGCGTAGCACAGAGTGAATGAGAGGGTAGGTCCCTGCGCCCACACAGTTTGCGTTCTGTCCCCATTGGGCACCCCAGAGAACTCGCACCTCACAGTCAATATCCCTCTGCGTTCTCACCCAAATGGAAACACACCCAAAGACAAAATTCCGGGTCAAACAGAACATCTTCTTCCACGCAGAACAAAACATTCCGTTTCTTTGATTTCTTAATCTTAGAAGAAATTAAAAAACAAATTTGCAGGGTTAAAAACTGAACGATCATTTATAGACTAATTAAGATATTTTTAGATTGAAAAGGGTGAAATTAGACCTTTCTGCAACATTTCTTGCTTCTGGACAGATGTCATGGATCTGCTAGACAGCCATTCTGATCAGAAGCAAGAAAAGCAGTATGGTCCCTGCAAGACCTCCCACCTGTAACTGTGCTCAGCGTTTACGAACGCCCGGTTTGCTGATCCCAGGGCAGAATTTCCCCAGCAGAGTCTCCCCATGTGAGATTATATGTTAATCACAGGAGAGCACCTGAAGTATTAAACTGTGTTTCTTTCCCTCTAAAGCAAACACACAAGCCTTCAGATCACACCCATTGTTTCGCATACCTGAACCTTCTCTCCTGAACTTCAGTATCTCCTGCAGCCGCACGTGTTCAGAGCAGAGAGGTGCTTTCCCAGAGCATGGTGTGCAGGTAACACCAGCAAAGGCCAGAGCAAAGCATCCCTTTGGTGACAGGGACGGTTGCCATTCTGCAAACTTCTCATTTTGCTCCACGTCCCTCCTATTAGAAAAGCAGAGAAATCCCAGATGGTACCTCTAATACTGTACAGCAAAGGAAAAACCAAACAAGAAGCCCCCAAGCCATTCCCTCTCCACCACAGGCTTTCCAAAGTGGATTTCCAAATCTCTGATCTCTTAGATCCCTCTACTTTCAACATCTCATCAGCTGCTCTTAAAGCAAAATCCATTCCAAAAAGTGCCCTGGATCTCAGACGTGAGACTGCCTCATGGCAGTGGAGAGCCAGTTTTTGTTTTGCTATTTACACTGAAAGACTATGAAGAACCAAAGGGCGAAGTCACCTTTATATCTGTTAGCTGAGTCCAAGTGACAACTAGAGGAGCGGGCAGGTCAGATCCACGTGCAGGACACAGGAGGGCCCACAAATGATCAGGGTTTTCCTAGTTTGCTCCTTCTTTTCTGATGGGTAATGGTGTCCAGGTAGAATGTGAGGCCTCTGGACATTTGCCTAGGACTTCTAGATGTCCTACAGATGAGTCAGGGCACCAGATCTCCAGAAATCACAGCCATGTCTGCAACACATGTACAGACCGCCGGCCAGACTACCCATTCCTGAGTCACCGTGAGAGACACTATCTCTTTTCTTTATTTGGCTCTCATCTGGGTGCTATGCTCTTTAAAAAAGGCAGAAGGCTGAGGGGCTGGCCTCACACCCAGAGCACAAAGACAAGAAAGAGAGGTTTTGCTTCTCTTGCCGGGCAGAAGGAACTGTGCAGCTTAGTGCAATGCGCAGCCACTGAGTTGGCAGCAAGCAAGCCCCTGTGAGGGCAGAAGGTGTCTGTGCCTAGGGAGGAGGTGTTATTGCCAGTAACAGCTCTCGTTTTCAAGTTGCCCTCTGCACTTAATTTTCTAAGTAGCTTGGGATGCAAAAGGAGTTAGGCACTACCTTCCCTTCAGTGCCAGCAACTCAGCACCTATCAGACGACTGAACCCTCTGGAGTGTCCAGCATCGGGTGTGCTGGAAAATTTTATGGCGGTGCTTCCTCTCCACATTTAATTCAGTGATGGAAACAAAAGGTGGGATTTCTGTCCTTCCTTTGGAGGCAAGCTAGATACAAGACAAGGACACCAATCCACCTTTAGTGGAGGTCTGCTGCCTGATGTCTTGTGGTGCCTCTGTCTCCCCGCCTGGATGAAGAGGAGCCCCTGGCTGCACAGCACTTTACTGGGGGCTTGCAGAGTGCAGGGACCAAAAGAAAAGTCCAGGATCCTGCCTCTAGCAGTGCCTAAAAGAAAGGGGAGTGAGACGGTGCACGGAGAGAGCATTGGGCCAAAGAGCCCACACTGTGCGATTTCTGCCGTTGTGTGTCTTGGGGTCATCTGCAGAGGAAGGCTGCACTTTGCAGTCAGCACCTTTCACTTGGAGCTCTCCTTTCACTGGCTCTTTGATTTTAAAGCCATTTATATTCCAAGCCAATCCGTACTAAAAATAGGATTCCTTACTAAGAATGGCACTGGCATTACTCACTTTCTGCTAGTTCTCATCTCAGGCTCTGTTGCCACACCTCCGGCTGGAGGAGTGTGCTGCAGTAATCATCCACAACTATGTGCTTCTGTGAGCAGGTTTTGAACCTTTGCCATCCTTTGGAAGCTCCCACTGTTTTTTCTTTCATGTGCTAATACAGTGCAGTGGCTTATCTCCTCTCGCATCCTTGGGGCACACCTCTTCTCAGACTGTACACTGACAACCCAACCAAGTGGGAAAAACACTCAGGAGATACAGCCATCCCCTTCCTCCCCCTTGCAATTCAGGCCAATCTGCAGTTCTCAGCTGAAGGGGATGCTGTTCTTACTTGCACTCAGGAAGAAACAATTTGCTCTCCCTGGAAGCTACTGCATCCTTTGGCTTTGACTGTCAGCTGCTCCACTCAAACTGCTCGTCAAGGACTGCCAAGGAGGCTTCTGGGCTTTCCTGGTGGGAGGTACACTTTTTCCAGCTCAGTTTTGCCAGACGCTAAACATTTCTGCAGGGTATCACTCCCCCCCAAGGGTGTGGGAGGTGGGACATACCTCTGGCCAGGTCTAGTTAAATGAATCCTATATTGGGTTATGTTTTCTCTTTCAGCATTCTTTTGAGTTTTGCACGCCACTTTCAAGTGCAGGAATGTGTTTCCTCCTGCCAACCATGTCAGAGGTACAGCCAGTGCCAGAGCTGACTGTCATTTATTCGCTCTGATAAGGGGTTAAATATGCACAGGTAAACCTGGGCGTATGTTCATAATGCAGGTGGCAGTGATACTTTAAAGGAGGCACCTTTCTTTGTTCCCTTAATGATTCATTCATTGGGAGTGTGGGAATTAACCTATATAAATTTTTGCTACTAAGTAGATACACCTAGATCCTGAAATAGTGGATGGGTGAGAACCAGTTATAGAGACTCTACACATGGTCCTGGTAGCACAGGAAGAAACAAACCCTCAACAGTAGGCTGGGAATAAATGATCGCACGGCATTTCTCACGGCAGATTCTCTTTACCTCCTGTGTTCTGGTGATTCACCAAAAATCCTAGAGGGCTGCAGTAGACACCTCTGAGAAAGGCCTGACTTGACCAGGACCTTACACGGGTCCTGCTCTTCAGGGGTCTCAGCTCTGACAGCTGGAATTGGGATGGGTGTATGACTGAGACTCGGCAGTGAGCAGAGGCAGGCACGCTTTGGTTGCACCAGCCCTGGGAGGCAGGTGAGAGATTGCATCAGGAAGCCAATATGAAAAGGGAGGCTGGTTTGCCAAGCCTGGCTCACTGCCCCCCCTGTAAGCTGCAGCTCACACCTCGTCAGCTGGGAGGTGGAGAAGAAACACATTTGTATTTAGGGCACCTCACTAACGGAGAATAGTTACCTAGAGGAGGAAGGAAACCTTTCTGGGAGGCTGCACCGAGTGGGCTGAAATCTCCAGACCGCCTCTTGTGCTCCTAGTACTTTCTGATTTTGTTGGAAGAACCTTTAAAGCTCAATGAACAAGAGTTAGTCAGTCACAGATTCTTTACAATGGATCCATTCCAGTTTATCCACTGGAAGTTATAAATTACATTAGCACCTGAGGAGCTGAGTGGGCTGACGGAAGCATGAGGCAATGGTCAATGCCCTGGTGCTGGTTTCCTACAGCTCTGAAAGGAGGTCACACTATTGTTGCCAGTGTGATGAGGTCTTGGTTGCTTAATCTCTTCAAGGTAGACTCCAGAGAGTGAGGTAACACCCCAGACACTGCAGAACCCGCCTGCACCTTACAGGTACCTCCAGCCAACCTTCCCCTCATAGCAATAGCCAAGAGCACAGCGCTTCGGACACAATGTGGGGAAGAGCTTAGTGAGCACAAGCCTGAAGGAGACAGCAAAGAGGTCCAGGAGAGGCATTGCCACCACACTGCAGTTGGACATCAGAGCAGTGCTGATACGCTAATGGGGCCCATTCCGGTCACGAGTGAATGGCAAAAGTTAGAAATGTGTGCACAGAGATGAGTCTCACAGGGAAGGCAACTGACAGGTCTTTGCCCATGCTGGGATGAATTCCCCCCTTAGCTGTGCCGATTCTCTGAGAAGACACAGTACCTGTCATGGATCTGACAAAGGGTGGTGAGAAAAGGATGCTTAAAGGTGTGAAGCACCACCAATCTCAACTGCCTACGGAAGGGAAAGCAGAAGGTTGGGGTTCCTGGGGAAACACACTGCAACTCACAGCGCAGAAGGGCACGTGTGTTGTGGGGAACAGCTATCCACACACACAGAGATACCACTCTGCCTACAGGAGAGGGACTGCAGCAAGGAGCAACCAGAGGCACCAGGAGCCCATACTCCAGGTGGGATGAACCCTTCCCAGCAGGGCAGCACAGAGAAAAGCAAAAAGAAACACCTCCCGTGGCTCTCTCCTGCCCAATGTCATTGTGCTCAGTGGCCCAAATCACACCAGCCAGGCCTCTGAGCTGCAATTAGCCATGTGAGCAGTGTATCTGTGGGCTGCGAGTGAGTGTCCCCTGGGAGGCCAGGCAGACATGCTACACCAGGTCACGGCAGAAGGCGTGTGGGCACAGCAGCACGATGCAAAGCACTCTCTTGTGTGGCATATCCTGTTTCTCCCCAAGACATGTACAAGGTCGCTGGCTTAGCCACGCTTGTGGGTGATACCATCTGTTTAATCAATGTTCTCTGTGCTACAAAGTCATCCCAGATGCTTTGCATTGGAGACAGCTCTTCCAATAGTCATTAGCAAGGTAGGGGGGTGAAGAACCAATTGTCAGGCTGCTTCGCCAACAGTAATTAGGAAGGCAGTGGGGTGAAGAAGCAATTGTCAGGCTTCGTTTTGCATAGGTCATGGCATTAGTAGCAAAATGCCTCCCCCCAGCCCCTGCTTCCTCCTCCCCAGGTAACTGTGAGCCTCCCTACACTTCACTTTGGGAGCTACTGCATAGCAATATTTCATAAGCAGGCCCGAGGGTTTGTCTGCTGCCTGTCCTACTTCCTCCAGAGCACCTGAGCTCAGCTGGGCTGGAATGTCTGCCCATATCACACTCCCGTGCTGCCTGGATGGGAGATGGAAACTCACCTGCTGAGGTTGAAGCTGGCTCCTCATGCAGAGTCTCAGGCTTCTCAGCTTAAGCCACGTTACAGTTGGCAGATGGGCCTCCCAAATCATGATGTTGACTCTAAAAATCAGGAAAGGAAATAAAGTTAAGTCTTGCTATTTTCAAAAGTCCTTAAGGTAACATTTAGGTCATACACTGAACTCCATCCTTTCTGGTCCTAGGGGCCATAAATGTCCTTGCTCAAAACAGGTATGTGAAACTTTAGGTTCTCAGGCCATGCCTCCGTGCCAGGAGCCAGCTCTTTGTGCAATACACCATTAAGCATCTCCAGGGACTGGAGCCCTGAAGGGACTGCCTCGTCTAGTCCTCCACAGCACCAGACAACTGCAGATATCTAGATTTGATGTGTATGCGTACAAATACATGTACAGAATACTTCTCCAAAGCTTCATACTGAAATGCTGCTAATATAAAAGACCCCAAACTGCAACTCTTTCCTCCTTAAAGCACCATCACTGATGGAAAGGTTCACAGTGAAGTCACGAGCATCGATAACCCTGCACAAAGCTGTCGGTCCGAGACATCCTTTCTGAAAGGCTAGAGTGCTTTCCATAAAGTTATCTGTACCATCAGCTGTTAATCAGCACAGACCAATTGATTTAATCTTCCACTAAACAAGGGCCTGGCTCGTCCTTGTTTTGGTAGATGTTTGTCTGTGATAGCTCTGTAGCCGTGACACTGAAAGATAGCACGGCTTGGGAGCACTTTTGCTGCTGTTTCACTTATCATTTCACTCTGTCACTGGGCTTGGAGCCCAGGGAAGGGTTAATCCCTTCCCTTCTTTTGCCAGGTAACAGCTGTTCTACTTTCCGGATCCCCGGATCACCCAGGTTTTGGTGAGGTAAGTGGATGTCCTTGCAGGAGCTCCTGTGGGAGGAGCATGGGGAAAACCAGTCGGGACTGGTCCCACCAGCCCCAGGAGCATTCCTGCTCCCATGCTGATGCAACTGGATCCAATCTCCTGGCAGACCAGCCGGCTGCTTCCCAAAGAGCTCCCTCCAGACGGGCTCACAGCTGAGCCCCGACCCGCCACGGCTGTGACGAAATTTGAGCAAGGGGACAAAAGGCCTTCGGCCCTCATTAAAGCTGGGAACACTTGATGGAGATAATGCTTGTTATTAATTGGTTCCTCCCAAGACAACACGAACCTCCTTGTTTTTCTGCGAGTTTACCCTTCTGTGGAGCATCTCCCCAGCACCAGCGAGCCCGTGGATGTTGGATCACAGCGTTGCACCCTCATGCACGTCCCTTGCTTGGGACGTACGAGTGGGATTCATTTAGAGAGTGTTGTGCAACATCGCTGTGAGACGGAAAAGCATGGAGTTATTTCAGTGGCAACGCTCATCCTGCTCCCACCCGGGACTCAGTGTGTGCCAGCTCTGTGTGACATGCTCTGCAGCAGAGCGTGGACTTTAAAGCACCCTGGAGATGGAAGAGCTGAACGGGGAGCACGCCTTAAGTACGCTCCAGAACCAGGTGAAACCAGAGAGAAAGATGTAAATTCAGACCATGTGTTTAAGCTATAATTCCAGATGCACCGGGAAGGCCGCAGTTACCCACGTACGTCTTCTGAACGAAAGCAGCTATTAGCACAAGCCAAGATAATCTCGACAAAGAGAATTATGGAATGCTTTAATCATGTCTTAAAGCAGAGTTTTTCAGACCCCAGCTAAAGGATGGGATATTCTGAAAGCTGCTGTTTTCCTTGAGCTTTGGTTAAAACAATGACAGAACTCGCACTGATGCTACTGGGACTGAGATCAGAAAGAGCTGATGGCTACCAAGCTCCCCGCCATCACCATTCACTGCCCCTTCCCAACTTTTCCTGCAATATTCTTGCTAAGACACACGTTGTTGAGTCTTGCACTGCTTGCTCATTAGCATTGCAGTAAGTGATTTCTTATGTAAATTGTGCCAGCCCACAGAAAAACCAGTTCAATTCCAGTCTGCACTGCTGGGATGGACACAGAACAGAGAAGTGCTAATGATTTTTTCTTTTTAAATTTTTAAAAATAGAAAACCAAGCAGCAGGCATAAAAGCAGTCACTGTATATCCTCCACTGCAGCAGAACTACCCTTGCATCTGCAGGGACTACTCCAAACACAGAACTCCCCTGGCTATCTATTTGCAAGAGCCATCACCAAACTTGTATGTACAATAGCTGTCTCTGTGCACCTAATTAGAGGTTTGAAAATGATGAGCATTTTTGTCTGAGGACCTCATGCCTTCTTTCAAATCTTGACTTTATCTTTTAAAGCCATGGCTACGTAGCTAATGGCAACACATCTTTTCTATGTGGCATCTCATAAATTTAAAGACCATAAATGTGACCAAGAAAAATAAGTGTTCAGCCATGGTGAGGGGATCTTTATCTTCTTATTGCTGCTGTTGGTACAAGCTTTTCAAAGGCCTGGAAGCCCTTTCTGGTTTTATCCATGTCACAGTGTGCATCACTGTGTCACTATCCCATGAAGCCTTTCCTGAGCCTACAAAAGGCATTGAAACACTGGCACTATGGTATGCACTTATGTAGCATAGCATGGTATGCCATGCTTTAATATGCCTTGACTTTCCCTACTATGCCTTTCCTTAACATTTATAGCAGTATGAGTGATATTGGTTGAATTTAGCACTTCAAGAGCTCCTTCATAGGTGGTAATAGAGCTCATGGAAATTATGCTTGATAAGTATTTAAAACTGAAAGGGAAGTTACTACTTTTCCATGGCAGGGGTATTTGCTGGGGAGTCAGAATGTCAAATCCTGTATTTATTCTGGCCCATTTTGCTCAACTTTGCTACTCTACCCTTCCACCTCACTTCTCCTTCCAGCTGAAATCCCAACTTTTTCAGGCAATATGCTAGTGGTTGCATAGAACGTCTAAACAGGATTGACACACATAGCTACTGTTCAGGTTCTTGAAAAGCTTTCGTCACAAATGAGAGGGACTAAGACCCAACAGGACATTTGTTGCCCTAAGCTCTGGTTTGGTTTTGTTCCATTCTGCTCCACCCAAGAGGTGTCTGCCTTTCATCCCTGACAGTAATCATCTCCGGGCAGAAGGCAGGAAAGCACCTTTTAGCTGGAAGGAGCCAGATACGGTAGGAAAGCAGTGCAGACAGATAGCAAGGGGAGCCACGCTAACTCCGTGCCCATGGAATTTACATTTGAAAGTTTCATTGGCAACTCCTTCTACCTGCATTTTCTGTGTGCACCTTTAATAATTTCTGAACATAAATCATACTGTTTAGAAATGTGAGGGCAAAGGATGCCATGGCAGGGGGGTGGGACTAGATGATCTTTAAGGTTCCTTCCAACCTGAACAATTCTATGATTCTATGATGCAAGAGGAAGGGAAATCTTGGGGCTAACACTTGGAACAGCTACCAGGTTCAGCTCTTGTTTGACCACCACCAATTCACCTTACCATCCCAGCAGTGAAATAAGAGTGAATGCAGATCTGACAGCATGTCCAGATTGCCTCTGAGGTGCTCAAACCCTACACTCATAGGGGCTGTGGACGCTCTAATAGAGACATTTTAAAATATATTAATCGATTTAGACACCTAACAGTCATTTCTGTTTCCACTGTTTTTATCTAGATACCTGCAGTGCTGAAAAGATTCCCTTTCCTAAGCAAAAGGAACATAACTGATGCTAAAACATGTACTTCCTTATCTCCCGGAAAACTTGAAGGTTCCAGGCACCACCCATGAACTAATTCAGTCTGTAAGTCACTGCTGTCTGATACCCAAACACAAATTCACTACCAGCTGTGTAAGGAAATTGCCCTCAAAGGCAGCAGCTATTTTCCAAGGTCTGGAGGAAAGCACCAGTAGGCAAGAATCCAGAGGCAAGTAACGATGGTGTTACCTGACCTAGCAGGGATGGTGTTGGAAGGAGGGTATGACATCTAGGTTAAGTCATATTGGAAATGATGGATCAGATTACACTCTTGGACTATTTAGCTTTGCTTTTTGTCCCAAAATGCAAACAGGCTGCATTATTTCAGTCAAAAAACGCTGAGCTGAAAAGTGGCTTTTTTTTTTCCCTGAATTATATACAAAAAGATATATCTTTCTGACACAAAAAGCGCATAAATGAAAATTTGTTTTTTCTCAAGAAAAGTTACTACTCTCCTTACTAGGAAAATGTATTCTCAAAGCACTTTTTCCCCTTGGATTTTAGATGTCCCACCTCACAGGTCTCTTTTGGTTGAAAAAGGCACAAATCCTGCTTCCTTGGCTTTGGGCCTAGATCCACAGTGAGCAAACATTGGCTGTTTCCCTCTGCCACTCACAGGCATAGCTGTCTCACCCGAGCAAACTCCCCAGTCACAGGCAAAGCCAGACCTGCAGTAAATGAGGATTACTCGCTCAGGGAAGGTGTAACCAGCAGAGGAACGATAGGTATGTACAGCTTTGTTCACAAAATGAGAGGGAATCGAGGTTTGCTTATTAAAGGCTGCCTGACCCTTCTGTCCACTGATCCATCTCCTGTGAACAGACTCTGACACCCGGCCCTTGCTCCCGGAGCACGCTCACTCCCTGCAGTCAGCTGCCACCAAGGGTGAGAAGCCATCACTTCCTACCACAGAGAACACCCCAAGAGCCCAGCGATGGCAGGATTGTTCACCCAAGTGAGACACACCGTTAGTGCATCCAGAAAACCTCTTCAAAAAGAAGATATGTTTGCTCAGGTAGTTTAGGATTAGTGCATCCAGAAAACCTCTTCAAAAAGAGGTGAGTGTTTGGCTCAGTTAACTACCTTGCTCTCAGATATGTTTGCTCAGGTAGTTTAGGGAAGTATTCGCAGCGCTAACAGGCTAGTTAAGTATATTGGTATAAAAAAGTATTCGCAGCGCTAACAGGCTAGTTAAGTATATTGATATAAAAAATGCCCAAAGTTATTTTAAGAATTAAAAACTTTACACCAGTTACTGGAAATAGCATGGAATAACTCAAAGGTGGACTTAGGCAAACCACTGCACAACATCGACCCAGTAGAAACACCTTCGTAGATGTCCAAGTATATCTGGACTTACCACAGAAAAGAAAACAACTCAAACTCATACCTTTTCATTGCCACAGCATAGAACTGGCCTTCCTGTAACATCCAGCAGGCCAAGATTCAAAGTGACATCTGCCACTGCTCTGAGGGAAAAGGGGCATATTGGGAGAAGGGGAGTGAAGTCTAGAAGTAGACAGGAAGCTACTCCGGTCACAGACAACTACAAAACACCCAAAAGCTCCATAAACACACAATAAACACCATGAGGAGCTATCCTCTTTTTTCTAGAAAATGCAATAATTACAGAGAACAAAACATTTGGGAAAGAGGAAGGAATTGTGCAAGCAGACATGACCCTCACATTACCAAATTCCTGGATGATGATCTGGATATCGCAAATACCTTGCAAAATCAGCCGTGTGTGCAGAAAATTGTGCAAGAACATCAGGCTACTCTTCCAGGTCTCAGCTGAGGCAGCCACAAGCGACAAAGACACCAAAGCTCTCCTGTCAAAGAAACATTGCCATTGAAAGGCCCAGAAAACTCCAGAGATGTAACTTAGAAGTAAGATGTGGAACCAGAAACCCAAGTATGCTTAGTGGAACATGGCGAGGAGAGCAGGGTAAAAGCCAGGTGATGTGTATTGTGGGACCAGAAACCCAAGTATGCTTAGTGGAACATGGCGAGGAGAGCAAGGTAAAAGTCAGGTGATGTATACATCCTGAAGAGCAGACCTGGCTGTGCAGGATTCAACAATAAAAATTATCTTTAGCCTTGCCCTGCAGCAGATCAGATCTGCTTGTCACACAAGTGTAGCATCCTTGGACAGCAAGAGACTTCCAGACATATAGTTCCACCCATCTGATGTGTTAGGTTTTTTTCAGCAACCAACCCACTGGACACTGTGGATCTTCATAGTGCTTGTGCATTAAAATTACTTTAGAAAGCTGGTAGCAAGCTCTTATTAGTCAGGGCCATCGCTCAAGTAGAAAAAAAAATATTACTGCTTGCTAGAAGTTATAATTGATTAAAAACATAATTAAGGGATTTTTTTTTTTAAATGCAAAGCTGTATGTCAGTTCTGAATTTGCAATTATCTCTTGTCATTCCTAGACAGGCAGATCTGCCCTCAATTCCCTGCACTAAACTTCTCAAAGCAGAATTCCCTCAACACAAAAAAACATTTTACAGGGCTCAGCAAGCCATGGTAAAGAACATGGGCAGTTCTGGGCCCAGCAGAAGACAGCAGGCACAGAAAAGCTCTGCTTGCAAGCACTATAGCAATGCTGGATGTGACCGATCCAGAGCAAAAGCCTTCTCTCTGAGGGAGGTGCTGCCTGCCCTACCTCTCAGAAAACCTGGCTGCAACCTACACCCTTCGAGAGGAACAAGTCTTCTACAAAGCCTGTCCTCCACTGCAGGTAAGGAGACTCAGCAACCATCTCCCTTCCTCGTTCCTGACACCGAGTTCAAGTCCAAGCCAGGACAATGCCTGGCTTTGAAAAAGCTGACACTCAATTTTTCAAGAGTCCAACCTTCCAGCAATAGCTCAGTTGGGCCTTTCTGGTTCCTAACTGCCTGTTTTTGGCAAATCCCCTCCAGTCCATTCAGCAGTCAGAGCACCAAAACTGCACGAGAGATGGAATTTACAAGTTACACTAGTAGCCTCACTGCTGCTAGGCTTTCAAGCTGGGAAAACAGCTCAGTTTCCTATGGTAGCATTGGTTTAGCCTACCAAGTAGAAATCCTGATATTCAGTCCAGAAAGACAGCTAGAGATAGAAGAGTTTCTGCAAGAAGAGTCCCACGGCTTTCAAATGGGAGCTGTAATCCATCCCCAGTCTCACTGGGCTATGGCTCAGTTACCACTGAGATTGAGCTTGTTTACTCCAAAGCAAAAAGCTTGGCAAGACTGACAGAAACAGCGTTTCTTGCCAGAGCTCTAATAGCAAATGTCTGTGGAAAAGCCGCTCGGAGAAGCACTGTTTACTTTGGTAATGAAGCAAGTTCCCTGGAATGAAGTCCTGCAATCTTCCCAACAGATGTTGCAACACCTTTACCTGTACCTCAGCTCCATACCATGCAGGCTGCTCTCCGAGCTACCCAGCCAAGTCAGGAGGCCAAGGGAAGCACATCTCAGCTGCTCTGGACAGAGCTAGGCTCTACTCCTACACTAGGTAGGCAACTTGGGTCCTCAATGAAACTGGGTGCTCTTTTTTTTTTTTCCTCACCTTTGCTTCAAGCTAAGCTACAGCCAGCAACAGCCCTGAAAGGTGCTTTTAAAAAAAAAAAAAAAAAGGGCCTCAAAACAAGATTCTCAATCATCTTTATAACTGGGTCTCTAAAGCCAAACTCACCCCCTGAACACTTTTTGCAGGCAACTCTGGATTCAGACCCCAGCTCGCTGCTAGAAGCATTTAGAAGGAACATCAGCACGCAGTTGGACTAATAACTACCTGGGGAAGAAAAGAAACTCAAGGCAGGCTGCAAGGGCCAAGGCTGCCTTTCTGTTGAGAAAGTCACTGGCCCAAAGCTATTCTACTTTTCCTCATTTACTGAAGACCAAAGTCTCAAGCCGCTGTCCAAATTCCCTCTGACCACACAGAGATGAAAGACCTTTCCCTCTTCATTATTCCCAGCCCTTTAGTCCAGTGCAAAGGGCTACTTGTTTGCTCCAACTTCAGTTGCAGATTTTGCTTCCAACGAGATGGCTCACGTAACCCCTCCCTAACCCAGTAACTAAGAGATTCCTTTGTAGTTGAATTAAATGGACTTCCTACTGAAACAGGTACTTGCATTTGCACATTTTGTTTACAAACAACTTGCACTCCTGTGAGAGCATGAAGCACATACTTCACATATGGCTGTAATTCTTCACAGCCATACTTTGTGCTCTTAAGTGTTGAAATTCCTGCTTTGAGGACAAACCAAGCTCTAATTTCAAGTGTTTACATGTACTCCCGAGAGTAAGAAAAAAATTTTACCATGATTAGGTTATGTAAAAAGTTTAATTATAAAATAAATAAGTTTGTTATGGAAACATTAAATATTAAATACAGTAATAAATATTTACACATTTACAGATAGGACTTGACAATTAATGGTGTTTCTCTGCTACCAGAAGAATTCTGCTCTGTTTATACAGAACACATTCACTCTTCCAAGAAGAAACTGAACTCAAATAATACTCTGTGCTCAAGACTGCATGGACAGTTCAAGAAACCAAGGACACTTGGGTCGGAAAAGTTTGAGGTAAGTTGAGTTCTTCATGCCAGAAGGCAGAGCACAAGAGGCCACTGCTTGCAGAGTGTCAGTGCATGAATTTAATTCTTCGAAGGAACAGGTTCTTGGTCAAGTTCAACTGACTGAATCTGATGTGAAGCGTTCTATACTTTAAGTGCTGCTTAAAGCAGCATCAAGTATCTGGGTAACAGAAGCAGCTCTGTGTTTCTAACAGATGGGTCCAGGCTTATCAGCTGGTTTGAGCATGGATCTTTTCCTTCAGTTACAGAGCTTCAGAACTTGCATTTACTGCCTCAGCATCCTGAGGAGACCAATCTGAACTCAGGCTAGCACACACGCAAATGGATAGCTCCACTCACACAACGAGTCCTACTCAATTCAGAGGTATTACTTTCCACACATACAGTAACAGAACCCAGGTGTGGCTGACAAAGATCTGTCACCAACGCCCTGCAAGTCAGAACTAGAGATGAAGTTCTTTGAAGCTGATATCAACAGGGAGCACAGTGACAGCAGAATGAGGTTTTTCATCCACTGGGGTCTAGGGAGAGAAGCCATCCAGAGCTTTTCCCTTTTTAACTTTGGGAGAGGGAAGGGATTTTTCTTCCCTCCATCCATTCCTGAAAGCCGCAACAAGCTCTCTCCCTTCAGGTTAGAGCTGCTAGAGGAGACTTGTTGACAGAAGAAAGTCCATCCACAGCACAGCAGAGACTGGAGCTCCAGCACCGATAGAGAGGGCCCAGTAGCAGTAGTCTCTAGCAGGTCTTGATGGCAGGTCCTCCACCCCACAGCGGCAGCTCCTTCCACATCATTGTGCCAAGATGTAGCAGTAACTGTCCTCCCCAGCAAGCGATTCAGTAGCAAGTGGCATGTTGACATCTCCTTGCAGCAGCCTCTGTCTTGATGAATCAGGGCTTAGTGGTAACAGCTCCAGCCCACAGTGTCCAGGTGGATGTGTCAGGTAGCCAGAGGTACCCTGCAGCTTGGCAGTGGCCACATCAGAATTGTTCTGTAAGGGGCAGACCAGGCACGTTAATCACCACCCAAGACCCAAGCGCTCGGTGCTAGAACCGCACCAAACCTACACCTGAGGCAGGCAGGTTAAGTACGTGCACACACCTGAGGACACTCTGCTAGACACTCTTCAGCTTCAAGTAAGCTTTAAGTTGTCACTGGACAAAGCCTGGACAAGGTCTGTAGCTGACATGTGGCAAAGCAAAACTCCTGAGTTCTGCCAGAACTTCTCAGGACTATCCTTTATAGCTTTCTCCTTCAGCCTGTGGTGTAACTCCTGTCCAGTAAGGGTCCTCGAGTCTGCTGTTAGGTACACTGTTGCTCAGAAGAGACCAACTTGCTTGCTCATTGAAATACACTATGATCCACCTAGGCCAAGGAGCTTCAGCACTCAGTTGCTATGACAGTATGAAACTTGACTGAGAGGCCATGGTGCTCACAGAACCGGCAGCTTTGTCTCTCTCTACAGCTTCTAAGCACCAGAAGCTTCCTGATGCCTTGCAGAAGAGACATGAAAAAGCTCAATCCTTCTCTTATGAGGGTAGATGATCCACTTGGCTGCTGCACCATCTGACATCATTGAAGTCTACCATGGTTTTTTTTTGCACTAAACCTGTCTCTGCACAGATATTGGGGTTTGGGTTTTTCTCCCCTTCAGAAGTCCACTTATCACAGTACCACTTCCTATCCTCACCTTTCCTTCAAGACAGCAGCGAGGAAGCTACCAGCACTGCTGAGGAACTTGGAACTACTCAGGTGGCTTTGGGACACCAGAAAACAAAGCCAGTCACTCGCAAGCTATTTGTTTAAAGGCACTTCAAGTGTTAGAAGCAAACACTAACTTTGCAAAACATGCATGCAATTCCTGTATGGTAACTCCAGCCTGGAAGGACCAAAAGGTGTTTCAAGTCAGCTTTCATACCTGCTTTCTCCTCATTTACACACCAACATGGCCATTTCTGTTTTCTTGTCGAAGTTTTTTCCTTTCTTCTTTCTCATCATACTGAGGACACTTTTTCCTGACCCTGTGGAATTACAGCATGTTAGAGGTCATTTTGAAACCCCAACATACATTCTCTTGTTACCAGCCCCCACATCCTCTGCAACATTTAGACTCATGTCCATTGAATCCTCAAGCAACTCATCAGCACCAGGAAGTTTCAAGCAAGACAGCTTTTAAACATTCAGTATCAAGCAGTATCTGACTACATCAAGAAGCAGCCAAGTCAGGCACTGGCAGTTTTGCCTCACAGCATCAGGGCTTCCTCACTTAAGCTCAAATAGGCAGCAAGATGAAGCGGGTTTATTGTTGGAACTGAGCAAAGCCCTAGGAGCCTTTCTGGGGAACGGATTTCCTGGTGGCTTTAGCAAGCAGCTGCAGAGACCAGATTGCCTTCCTCTCCCCACAGCACAGCCCTGTGGACTTCAAGTATTTGAAGTCCCTGTCCCCTTGATGCATCCCTTGAACACATATAAGCAAGCTGCTTTTTGATTTTCTCTCAATTTCTCTGTCTTTTGTAGTAACTGTTCCAAACAGACCATCTAGCTTCTCTGGATGAAGATACCGATTAACTTCATGCTTCAAGCCTGTGAAGGTTCAGAGCACGAAACAAACGAAATTCTAGTCCATGGCTTGCTCCAGAAACTAACAACGATCATTTGCTCCTACAGCACTACAGAACTGGTTATCTCTCCTAGCAGAGAGGAATGAGGCAGCATTCAGAGAACAAGTGTTCATCCCAGCATTCCTCAAGTTCAGATCTAAATATGAAGCAACTGTAAGTGACAAATGCACACCTTGTTTCCTGAATTGCAGGAAAGGGTACAGCACGTACCCAATACAGTTGACATACTTCATCAAGATCTAAAATTAGACTGAACTTTTGAGCTTCACCTACAATATCCCAAGCCCTACTGCAGTGAAGCTGCAGTGTCAGAACTGGAGGACTGCTCCAATACTCAGGGAACACTGGTGTCAGGCTCCCTGTGCTGAGTATCTAACCTCAGCACAAACTCCTGGCAAGACACAAAGGCACAGACAGGCATACACTGCTACATACTGCTTGTTAGCAGGTACAAAGAAGGGTTTGATATATGGCCTGAAACATGTACCCAGAAAAGCTCTTTTAATTTATTCACAGGCATAAATTAAACAGGACCCCAGATTCCAATTACCCACCATGCAGACCTGTCAGCAGTTGGTTAGGCTGCAATGGTTGTTCCCTCCATCTGAACAGCAAGCACTACAGTATTTGGGACTGACAGAAAATTGTTCCCCCATTTGCTTCCCCCCAATGTAATTAAAGCCCAACAACCTTCATTAATAAATGGACCATTGGAGCACCATCTCCTCCCCTCCAGCTGTGTACCCAGCGGGTGGATAACAGCCATGCATGAGGCTGCTACATGACCACTCGAAGGTTCTCCACAAGGATCAGGGAAGGCACTGCTGTGTCAGCACTAACACTCCTCCTCTGTTTCCTGCTGATGTTCTGCAGCACTGAAACTATCCTGGTTGCAGCAAGAGCAGAAAGGCTCTTGTTTTAAAATATAAGGGTCCAAGGCTGCCCACAGCCAAGCATGAGAGAGGGTAAGTGAACACTTAGTCACTTAAGAATTTCTCAGATCTTGCTTCTGCCCTCAAGACATATCCAAACTGGGATAAGAACTCAGCCCTTTTGCATGTCTTCCACACAGGTAATTTAGATGAGCCATGCACATTTCAGGGCTACTGGACACAAGCCCCACACACACTTAAGCTAGACAGACACCAAAGAGTATAATACTTACTGCACTATCACTATGATAAGTACAGTAATGAAGCTGATGCTCGAGAGCAGGACAGCTACCACGACCAACACAGTCTTCGAGTAGTCTGCCACATCATTCTTCTTTTGAGTCTTCATGAACTGTTCACCACAGCGCTCACCAAAAAAATCCTGATGACACCTGCAAGTAAACATTAACACAAGTTCTTATCAGCTCCAGTGCTGTCTGGAGCCAAGGACACCCACACACATTCAAACCCAACTTAGACATCTTCAGAGTTTCCCATGAATCTCAAGATGCTCCCTTTAGAGCATGTTCATGAAATGCAGTCACGGCTCTAGCACAAGGTTTGTCAGCATTTCAACAAGTCGAGATTAGTTTGGGCGTGATGTTCCAGGAAGACACGCCTTTTCATTCTTTTGGTTTGAGTTTATGACCAACTGATGAGTTCAGTGGCTTGTTATGCATCTCAGATTCCATCATCACTTAATTTACATGGCAGAAAGATTCTCAGTCAAAATACGGCAGGAGATGGGTCTATGCCAGGTTGACACTGATTTTTCCTCTGAGCCCTCATACGCCACCAGCTCATGCCAATCACACCTCACTCACAAGGTACAAGTGACTTACTTGCAGGTCACCATCTGAAGATGTTCTAGGTATACGCATTCACCATGGATGCAAAAGTTTTTGTATTCCATTTCACAGGGAGTCCCTTTCTTTTTGTTTTTCCCTTTGTTTTTCTTCCTTCTTGATTTGCCACCGTTCTTCTCACCCCCCCTCTTTGTTGGCTTGGGTTTGACCACAGGTTCAACTGAAAAAAGGATGAGATGACTCAGTCTAGCAACACTAAAAAGCCAAATTCTGTGAAAATTGAATTACAGACTTTGGTGAGGGGTAGGGGGATGGCCACTGCAGAAGAATCTGTGACCAAGAAGCATAGGATGCAAGTGAGCATGCAGCTGAGTATTTCATACCCAGCAGAAAGGCAGCAAGCTTAGGAGCTCATTAGGTGCAACTCTGCCACCATTAAGTCCTGTGCAATGCAGACCAAAAGCAGTACAAGCAGATGAGCTGAGAGCGCCACCAGAGATGAAGATCAGAGTTGAAGGACTGCAGCATCTCACTGGATAAGCCACTTGAGTGAAACTATACAGGTTCAAGCAAAGACCTGCAAGGAACATGGAGTGCACGCTGAGCTGAGCTATCCACCAGTTTATCGACTCAGATACAAGGCTAACAGCCTCCACTCCTCTAAACCCTCTATTTGCATCAGTGATGAAAGGCATTACAACTCACTAGATAGTCCTGGGCACTTGCAGAGGCAAGACTGCTTGCTATCCCAGTTAGCATACTTGTTTCTCCCAAATAACCTGCAGTGCTGTCTTCAGCAGAAGATAGTTTGTTTCCAGTTCTCCTACTTTGAGGGAGATGCCGAGTGCATGGAAGGAGTGAAAGCAGGAGAGTCCACAAGAGTCAGGTTATTTGTGCCGCCGCTTACTGTTGCCCCTCATTATCTCAATTAAGACAAACCTCTAGAAGAGTGTGGTTTAATATGCTAGTGACTTAGTAGCCTTTGGATTTAAGCAAGGGCAATCACCTCCCTTTCGCTGGGGAGAACAAGCTAAAGTCAGCCACTGACTAAGGGTAATAAGCTCTGCAGCTGCTCCATGCAGCAGTTAGAGCTCAATAGCATTGTTTTAGAGCAAATTGGTAAAACACTAGTTCTCTGAAGAAGCCACCCCCTCACTGCTAACCATAAAGGAGGTCTTCAGTTCAGCACTCTGCTTTTTCAGGAGGAACAGTTAACCAGGTGAGTTTGAACAGGTCTTAAGAAGAGTAAAGCTATTTACAATTATCTTGAATTTCACCATTGCGCTCTGCAGACCTAATGAAAATAACTTTTGGACTATTAATGTTTTACCTAGAGCACCATGCATACAGGCAATCACCACAATAGGACACGACTTGATCCAACTACTTCCTAACCCCATATTTCTAGCGACGAGAAGAGAGTCTGCACAAAGAAACAAGGTGTAGTTCACTGTTGTCTAGACAGCTGATCATTTTAACTTCTAGAGCAACAAGCCTGGCTTGAAGTTACTTAAAAGCAAAAATGCCTTCAGCAACCAGAAGTCTGATTCAAATGGTATAAGCTATATTAATATGCAAATGAGGAACACTGTTCCTGCAGCAAGGTTTCCTGTCCCTAGAAGTGTAAGCTTACCACTGCCAGCTGAGGCCCCTGCTCTGTCCAGTTTGACTTGATATTTAGGTTCACACTTTGATAATTGAGGCCGTTTCCATTCCTCCCTCTTCAAGGCTCAGCTTGTCAGTTTGATCTGTGTCCCTGTCTGCAAGCTGCACAGCCAGGGAAGCCATCCGCAGTTGAATCATAACAGCTTGAAGGCTCCGCAGATAAACCTCATGCCAAGTAGAAAAGCTGGTCTACAAACCAACCACCTTTGGTAACAAATCTGGTTTCTGTGCAGTTATACAACACTTAAGTCACCAAGCCAGTAGTTTTACAGGCCAAACTGCTCAATAACTCTGACATTCCTGTTTCCCCTGGAGGTCTTCAGCTCCTGAAAAACTCCAGCAAAGGTCCACAAATTCCCCAGACTGAGCATGGTCCCCCTTCACCTAAAAGATCCTTTCGATTTCATTCAAGTCTCAGTGTTTCCAGAGGAAAAGCAGTAGCCAGATCCCTCAAGGTTAACAGCATCAGCCTACTAACATCTGCTGAGGTACAAATCCCTTGCAGGTATTTGGCTTGTATTATTCTATTAGGCCTGAATCAACAAATTCCTTCCAGCCCCATAGTCAGGTGGGCTATTCACATCTCCTCACAGCTTACAAGTGGACTAATTACAATAAATTCACACAGTAGCTATTGACAGTGAAGCATTGCCTGAAAGATGCTCAATGAACTTCCTCGCAGCCACTTCATGCGTTTAAGTGGCTTTTTTCCCAGAACATTTAGTGAACTCTGACCCAAATAAGCCATCCTTGGAGGAAGACAGACAACCTGATGTTAAAACCCACCTTTAGGGCCAAACAGCACCCAAACAGCTGCCCCCTCACGTCCCTCCTGTCAGGTTTAGCAGGGGAAAGCAGCACAGCAGGAAATCAGCGAACTTGCAGCTCCCACACAGCCCAGTCACACTCACGCTAAGTTTTCACTGCTGAGAGCTTATTTTTAATGCAACACTTTCAAGGAAAAGCATGCTTTTACTCCATATGAGCAAAACGCAGCTGCCTAACAAGAGAGGCAAGGCAGAAAGCAGCAGAGAAGTTTCCAGCCCACCACTGCCGAGCTGATGAGCCCAACTCACCACACCTGGCCCTGTGATGAGCCCACCTCACCACACCTGGCCCTGCTCACCCCCAATCAACCCATCCCTGATACACCGGTGGGTGGGCAGTGCCTCCTCGCACTACCCTGCCTCTTCCACAGAGCCCTGCCGCACTCGTGCTAAGTTTTCATCCCTGACAGCCTATTTTCAAGACAACACTTTCACAGAGAAGCACACCTTCCCTCCGTGCTCCACAAGCCTAGCGCTGCACCCTGACAGGAGGGGTCAGTCAGAAGGAAGGGGAGAGCCCCCAGGCCGGCCGCTGCCGAGCCCACCTCAGCGCACCCGGCCCCCGGCTCACCTCGGACCAAGTCCTCCACGAGGTACTGGTGGACGGGCATCGCCTCCTCGTACTCCTCATCCTCCTCGTAGTCGGGACCCGTCACGGCCTCGCTCTCCCGCTGTCCGTGGTGTCCCCCGTGCCGCTGGGGCTGGGTGGCGTTGTGCGAGTCTCCGGCGGCGGGCCGGCTGGCTGTGAGGGGGGGGAAACGGCGCCGTTG